ATCAACCGCAAAGACACCAGAGATAAACAAAACACCTGAATGGACGTATGAGCTCAGAGGACGAGCCCACATTTGTTACGACGTGGCTCAAAAAAAGCCGCAACAAAAGGAGAGACGCACCGAGTTTCAAAAATTAAAGCTTGTCTTTATTAAATGAGACCAAATTAAAGCCAAACCAGTACGGGGTTGTGAGAATACAAAGAGTCACTGGTGTGTGTGTGAATCATGTCTGTGCAACTAGAAACTAGTTCAGGAATCTCTAACTCCGGTGCTCGTGAGCTGCTGTCCAGCAGGTTTTAGATGTTTCCGTACTGCAGCACACCTGACTCACGTGAATGGATCTCCAGCAGCTTGTTGTCAAGTTCTACACAAGTCTGTTAATGATCCATTAATGTGAGTCAGGTGTGCTGCAGTACGTCTAAAACCTGCAGGATCGGAGCTGGAGATCCCTGAACGAGAGCCACCCACAAGATGACCTCAGGGGTCATCACATGCAATCTTCACACATTATGTAATACAAAAAAATAAAACTAAATAAATAAAATAAAAAATTTCCCCATGTAATATAATGTGATGTTTATGATGTAGTTTATTTCTTTTGTTGTTTGTTTTATTGATGTCTTTATATTTAATACTCAGTGAGCTTTTGAATGGCGCCGAGGGGATAAATAAAGTTATTTGAATACTTTAAAATGACTCTTCTGAGTGAGACTAAGCCAGCGGTGAGCTCTTACCACAGACGGCTGCAGTGATCACCGTACAGTTTCCTTCCTCCACCAGCGAACAGTCGTGCAGACGTCGGTCTCGGTACGAACACTGGAGGCAGGTGGAGTTCGGAGCCGAGCTGCTTTTGTCCACACGATAAACTCCACCGCAGTTTAGGTCCCGGCAGATCTGTTCAGCTAAAACATCCACAGAGGCCGGAGCCAGAGGCACCGGGTCGCTGCTCCCAGGACTCCTGAGCGTCCAGCTGCAGCGTTCACCTGCAGGACGGTGGACGACCGGATCGCCTGAGGAAACAGAAACCAGGCTGATTTATCTGATGGGATTCCAGTGGAAGTCGGAGCAGACGTCACTTCTCTGAGACTCTTGAAACATCAGAGTCGACACAGCTGATAATGAATCCGTATGAAGTACTTTGAGTGTGTTTTCATTGTATTGAGGAGTCGGCTGATGTGTTTTATTTCAGAGCCAATACTGATTCAGCAACAGAAAAGGAAAAAGCTCTGTAAAGAGACTCTGGCAGCAAAGGTGCCTGAAAAAATATGTTCAAAAACAGAGGAAAACTGTAAAAGCAATAAAAATAACTGATAATAAATATCTGTAAAAATAATGGTGCTTTTTATCGCATTAAAAAAAAAATGTAATTTCACAGCCGCATATTGTAAAAGAGCAAATTAATATTTGCAAAAATACAGATTTGCTGGCAATATTCTCTTTTTCCAATCAACATGTACAGTTTTTTTTTCTGATTTTACCAGATGTTGTTTGTAGTTGAACAAAACATGGAAAATCTGTAAAATAACAGTTTGAAAAATTTATTTAAGAATCTTTAACATATTCAAATAATAGCAAGAAAACAGAAAAAAAAATTGTGTCTAAAAAGAATTATTTTCCTTTATGGGCTAATCAGAAGATTAATTTACTCTATTAAATTACTTATTTTTAGGCCACATCATGTTGCTCCACTGTTAAAAAATAAAGACCTAATCAGGACATAAATAATGATTTATTTAATAATAGTTGGAAATCGGTGACAGTTCTTTTGTTACATCTAATTTAAGATGAGACACTCGAGGTGAAATCACTGGTTTTTCAAGTCCTGGTTAAAGTTAGTCAATGAAACAATGAAAACCAACAGTGTATAAGTCAGCTTGTCAACTCCCTCTGATTCTGTATTTTATCCAAATTTCTCTGTCTTTAAAAAAAAACGCAACACAAATACGTAGTTTTTACCGATTATTCCTCACACAGGAGGACTTTACTGAAGTTTAGTTTTGTTGCTCTACTGAGCAGGATTGACTTAAAATAAAGAAACAACCATGTGGCAGCATCAGATCTGTTTGTTAATCTGAACCACATCAGACACATCTCACCACATTACTGATGAAGTATTTACTGATGAAGGGTCTGATTTTAGTGTTTCAGCTCACAGATCAGAGCAAATAACCACATCATCAGGGATCTACCCCCTTTAAGAGGCTTTAGATAAAATTTACCTTTGATCAACTAAAGAAAAATGTCTCGAGCTTTAAGCTGAACTTCTTTTTTTTTTTAATTTTATTATCTGTTTTTGCACAGATTGTGAAGTAATCGCACTAGAGACGGTTAATTGACTTTAGTTGTTGCCAACTAGGAACGCAAAAAACAACCACAGAATAAAAAGAGCACAACACAAGCCTGAGATAATAAACAGAATCAGTAAATACAATAAATAAAAGGAAATCATTGGCGGTGATACATTTGGGGGAACTTCAAACAATGAGGCTGTTTTTTTTTTGTTTTTTGTTTTTTAAACTCTGCAGATCTTCCTGACTCTCTGATGTTTGTGTGGATAAAATTAAACTTTTCTGCAGTTTTAACGGAGAAAACAGAAAATCACAATATCATCAGAGTACAGCCCGATGCTAACACCTGGACACACCTAAGGATGGCAAATAACATAAATGGTAAATAAAACCGGTCCCAAAATAGAACCCTGAGGGACGCCTTCTGTAAAACTAAAATAAAGATCACTAATCACTCTGTTGCACTTTGTTTCCTCTCATTTAAGAAGGACTTCATCCAATATGCTTTGAAAGATAAGTTAAATTAAGTAAATTAAATTTTACAGGCTTTGACGATAAAAAGTCATCGTTAGTCGTGTGAAATGTCTTCTTAAAACCTAGAAGATTCTACTTCTGTCTTTTTATTTGATTTCTTTCAGTCTCTGCACCATCGGTTTGTACAACCCTGGAAGTTATTTGTTCAAAAATATTGTTTTCCAAATGAAAATGATGCTTTTAGTTGTATACAATTTACTATAACTGCACCAAAATGCTGCTTTATCTTGGTTTGTTAATGAACTCTACAATGCTTTAGCCAGTTTGTAAACAGAAAATACTAATGCTTCAGGTAGCTCTGTGTTTTCATCGATGGAATATTTCTGGTGTCAGTCACTTTACAAGATTTTACATTTTTCCGTATCTGACAGCAATACTTGAACATCTTATTTTAATACAGTTTTAAAAATTCAGATGCTAAAATGTTGCAAATGTGAATTATAACATCATAAATTTTCCTTTTTGTCATTTACAAAACAGCAATTTCTGACTGAACCGGACTATTTTAGACGCTCTTCAGCATCGTCTGTAACGCTGAAGAAATTTATGATTCATTATGAGAAATGATCTTCCATCAGATTCTTGATTCTAGGTTAGTGTCGGTAGGTTCGTTTCAGGTTGGCATTCTGGTTGCCATGTTTGCTAAACCACAAGACATCCTGAAACTTCTCTTGCAGGTCATAACCTCCACTTTCTTCACCGGCATTTCCTATCTGGAGCAGCAAAAAGTTAAAATGCCAAAAAATTAATCTAAATGTTATCACCTTTTTACTCAGATTTTCATCTTTTTTTGTGCACATATAAGCGTATACCAATACTAGCATGCCAACTGTGGTTTTGGTGAATTATATTTCTGCCATTCTGACGGTAAACTTATCAGTTCGAGATGTTTTTGGAGCTAACGTGTTGTTGAGGATGCCGTTGAGCTCGAAGCCACACAAACAGCAAGAAAGCTTCCTTGCAGAGCAGAGCAGGGTCTGCGTGGGAGGGACCCTCACTTTCACACACTTGAACCTGCACCTGCAAAATTCATGTGGTTCAAAAGCAGGTCACCGCCACATCCTGTCACAGCAAGACTGACAGCATTCATGCAGCCCCTGCACACAGAGTGTGTCGTGATGCTGGGCAGAAAGTGGTGAATTAAAGCCCACTGTGTGTTGTGGAGATGCAGAAAGACAGAGCAGTTATCCACCACAGCTACAAATGACAAAGACTTCACTTACTGTTGAACGTCTCTTGTAGATTTGTTGTATTTCCATTTTCTGTTACGTTCACATTTGTTGGGGTCGTCTGAGTGGAAGAGTTTTGAAAATCTGAAACGAAAAAGGAGAAAAAGATTGTGTCACTAATGGTCCAACACAGGCCGAAAACGCCACAACAAACAGATTCTAGGCGGTAACAGCCTGACCAAGTGTCACCTTGTTGTGTTTTGGCACGTGGGGGAAGGACAATGTGGCTGGAACGTCACGACCAACCTCGGAAATCTCTCGTCCACATTTTACACAAAATTTTAATATGGTGAAGCTGATATAAGACGGGTCGGATCTAACCAAACCAAATCAGAGCAACTTCTTCTTCTGCAGCTGAATGTAAATACCGTCTATACAACAAATAGATATATAAATGCACACACACACACACACACACACACACCTACACACACACACACACGACTGCAACTTTTGCACAATCTACACTGCACTTTAGTTTTACCGTCTCTCTTCTCGTCATTATTTATGTTTTTTTTCTGTTCAAGGAATATTTTTTAGCATGTTTTACACTGGTCAATTTGCATTTCCCCGTATCAGCTCTTGACAAATAAAAACTCTTGAATCTTGACACTGTCGGTCTTTAAAACTGGTTTTATGTTTCCCGCCAAAGTGCACAAAAGGAAAGATTGAAATAACTCAAAAACAACGTGGTTGAATTTTTAACACTGCGTAAAAGACGAGGGTGAAAAAAGAAACAAAAAGGCTAACAAAAAGCTCAACATTAACAATTAGAAATCAGTTTAAAGAAGTAAAATCGGTACAAATGCAGAACATTACTAGAGACTTTTCATTGTGAAGCCTGTTCTTTTTATTTTACTAGATTTTCAATCCGTAAATTATTACAAGAAAAACAGTTTTTAAATGGAACTGATGCACCGACAGAGAGAAAATAGGAGCTGCACACATGCTGCTTTAGCTTTAAATACGCTACTGAAATTTTTATCCTTGATACTCTTCTTATGATAAATAATATTCAGAAAACTGTAAAACAGAACACAGTATCCATGTGTCCATTTTGCTGATCATAATAACTTATCTTGAGGTACTCGTTCAAGTGAGACACGAAAAGAGTTACAAATACGTTTGAAAAATGGAACAAGATTTTAATAAATGCAACTTATCTAAACATATATATAACTGTCTCATTTTGATACTGCATTTAAAACACAGCTCAAATTCATTTCTAATCTCACAAAAACGTACTTTTACTATAAAAAGTAAACATGAAAGTGTAAAACTGTAAACGTTACCTTGACAAAAACAGCTCAGATGGACAATTAAAATGTATTTCAGCAGCATCATGTTGTTGATATAAAGAAATATCTTCGATTGTCTTCTCAAAGCTGAAATCAACTCAACTGTCACACTTGTACTGAGTTTTTTCTGCACTAAGTCACGTTTCCTCTCTTGATCCTTTTATATTAGTCTGACAAAACTTCCCATTTGGTGCACAACAGCAGGAAGTAAAAACGGCGAGGCTCCGTCCCTCATTCGCTTTGGAAGGAGTTCAGCTACAATACACTCATTAAACTGTACAAATGTAATTGTTTTTGTAATGTTTAATATTAAGCAATTGCCCACTGAGGGAATTCTGAGGTTTTTGGGCCCATTTTCTTACCCTAGTTATACTATTAATCACAGTATGTTTACCCTTTTAATGCCAAAAATGTTACTTTTAATTTGCTTTAGATGCAAATTCAGAACACCAAGAGAAAGTCAACATAACCAGAAGGAAAGAATAAAACTACTAAATAATAATTAATCCAGGTTATGTGAATGAAATAATAAAATATCATTCATGTGGCAGCAAGGAAGTAAATTGTAATTTATTGAATATAATGTGTGATCCTAAATCACACAATGTTTATGAAAGTTATAAAGATATTTGTGTTGGATGAATCCTATTACATCATTTTAATTAAATCTAATATGTTAATGGTGGTTTTTGTTGTTTTGTTGATTTTTTTTTTCTTTTTTTTGTTGTATATAATTGATATGAGTAATGTGATACACGGTGTCATGTTGACAGCTTTGCAAACATATTAAATCTAATGTACGAGGAGTGTTTCGCTGCTCATCGGACTTGACGTAATTCCGTTTTGAACCAGCTGAGGGTGACATTAACTCATTTAAACCTATAAAAATAACATTCATTTAGCTGATATCCCTGTCTCAGTATTTCTGCTAATATGCATTGAAAACTCCTTGATGCTTTGTCTTAAAATTTGATTATTTTATCCATCTTCACAGAGTTAACAGTGCAGTTTCAAATGTACACAGGATGGGTATTTAAAGGTCGATATCAGGCCTTAATTAAAAGAAAGAAAGAAAGAAAGAAAGAAAGAAAGAAAGAAAGAGGTTCTTATATTTCTACAATTCTACATAATTCCAATGGCAGGTTATACTGTGTTGGCCTATGTGTCTTCAAATCACAATTTCGTTTGTTTCTTCCAGTTGTTTAGGACTATTTCCTTTATTTATCAAATACCTGGACATTATGTTGATTAATGTAAATTATTACTATTTCTTAGACAGCAGCGGGATCAATATGAGTGTCTCCACAGAGAGAAAGTTGTGTACATTTACACATGAAACAATAGCAGCAACTTCATCAGTTAGTTTTAATTATAAGTTATCCCCAGCATGGGAAAGAATCAACCAGGATGTATCAGCAGGTCACACCGTTTACCTGTCCTCACCTCACACAGGTGAGATGTCACACAGAGTTTACAGTTTGTCAGCTGCAGGTAAATATTTTCTGACATTGCTGCTGCCCCTCAGGTGGAATCCTGAACTTTGAGTTTCACATTTTAAGAAATCAGAAATAAACTGGGCTGCTAGTAATTTGGACACTTGGTTAAGCTGTTGTTTCGTCAGTTTTTGCATTATTGTGCATTATGTTTGATTAATTGCGTTGCTGCTTAATCGTGTGTGTACCATACCGTGGCCTCTGTCTGTATGAAAGCACCAGTCACTGTAACGGATGGATAAAGGAGCAATGTTCCATGTTCCATGTCCAAAAAGGGCTCACATGCATCCAGCTTTCTGTTTCTTTCTTTTGGCTGCAGGTTCTGATTCAGTCTTGCATTGTTCACCAGTTTGTTTCCAGAGCTCTTTAAAGTGGGTCCACACCGTCTTCAAAAGTCAGCTTCAAATAAACCCTCAGCTAATTCTAAATCACACACACGTTAACTAATAAAACATGTACAAACATTTTCTATATAAATATAAAGAACAGACGCATTTTTACACCGTCTAACCAACTTTTCAGTGACAATAATGACGCCGTGTAATGCTACTGTGCTGCTAATAAAGTTTAAACAAAAAGAGAGGAAGACGCTTTGTTTACTTCCTGCTTCAGGAGCACGCGCTCGGCTCAACTCTGTCTCCTATTGGCTTCGTTGACGTGTAGCCCCGCCCACCGCTGGCAGACCGGAAAATTTAACTGACAGAAGAAGAAAAAGAAGAATTAATTTAAATTTGTGTCATTTTCCAACGTCTTCTCGAACAACAAAAGGCGTAATTACACTTTTAACGAAACGTGTGATTCGGGGAAGATGCGTCCGCCTTCATGTGACAACTTTTCGTGACTTTGTTTTGTTGCTGCTTTTGATTACCGTACCTATTTTTTGAAGCTAAAGCAGAACGAGTCTAAAAAGTCAACAGAAATACAAATACGGCCACTTACCTTAAAAAATAAGAGTTAAATTTTAATAAAAACTTCCGATGACACAGTTTACGGATGGGGGTATTTATACACATGCGCAATGAGTCATAAACGCAGAGTCGTTGGCGCCAGCGCGGAAGCTGGTTTCATTGGGCTCGGAACCGAGGCGGGTAAGCTGCATTTATTAGTCTTTAAACCGGTTTATTTAGCTCCGGATGTTGAATTTACACCCCTAAGCCTGTTCTGTATATTTCATATGCAGCAGCAGATTCGTGGGGACTCACTTAAAGCTGCCTGTTGGTTGTTATTTTGCTGCTAAGTTTGTGAACTCGGTTCGAACTGGAGCGTCGAGGTTAGCCAACATTAGCTCGATGAAAGTCGAGTTCGTTGACGGCTGAGAGTTACTTTTAAAGTCCAGCGGCTTCAGAGGAGACAGGGAAGCAAAGTTTGCATCTTCTGAGCTTTAATTCGTGAAGCCAAACTTTCCACCGAGGGCGCCTTTTTCAGTTTGTTCCTGCTTCAGTCGCCTTTAATTCATTGTGAAAAACGCACCTGTTGCAGAATCGATCAGATATAAACTAATGGGTGAGGCATTAAGTCGCTAGTGGTCGTTTTGCATCCGATTCAAAGCGTTTGATAAGTTTTTTCCTGGTACAAAATGTCCCCTCTGGGCCTTTGTGTTGTGGCAGCACGAAGGCAGCTCTTGTGGAGTTTTCCACTGCCTCTTTGTGTTCTTTGGGTCATCTTGGCTCATGCATCTGCAAAGTCTTCCAGCCACAAACGTCCTCCGAGGTATTGCAAAGCAGCAGTGTTGAGTTTGAGCCTATTGTAGCTGCACAATTGGAGCAATTTATCAATGAGATTGGCGCATTTGATGAGGTGGTAAATAGTCCTGAAACTCTGCGGGTTTACTCGGAGTTAGTGTCTCCATTTCCATCTGGAGACTTGCTTCCTGGTTTTCTCGCTAATAAACACTGACATTACTTCCTGTCTTGCAGATAAAAGCAGCCACAGCGATGACTAGACGAAGGTAATTGCATCTCCTGTTGATTAACCCTTTGAACCCCAAGCAGTTTGTGTGCAGCTTTCTGCTCCTGTCACCTTTCCTCCCCTCACTGTGAGCTCATTTTATTTTCATTTGTTTTTTACTGCTCTACAAAGAAACAGCACAGCCATGACTAGAAGTAGAGAGAGCTGAAAAAGTTAGAAAGCCATAAATCACAAAATACAAGAAAAAGACAGAAGTTGAGCTTGTTTGATCACTTATTGTACAAAAATGTGAAGGGGGGAAAAAAATCCTAGAATCGACATGTGCAACAATTTGGAGGTGCCGATGTAATATCAATACTGGAAAAAGGATTCTTTACATGCTCGATATATATTTACAGCTTCTGTATTTTTCCCACTACTCAACATTTCAAGTCTAGAAAGAGGTTACACCACGTTGAAAGTGTTTTCCAACCACTTGCTTCTGTTTTTGAGCCATGTTGCGTCGATTTTATTGCTCAAGTAGGTTTTATTTTGCTCTCAATCTCGCTAATCAGCTTCCATGCTTGTGTCCTCGCTGCTCTTTGTAAACACAGCCTGCAGTTGAGCCGAATATAGCTGGTCACAGCCAAGTCACTCGTTGCTTCTTTGTTGCACCAATGAGGGCAGAATATTTGTTTTTTACTCAATCTGGTACAAAAGGTTTTTGCTTCTGTTCATTTGTTTATTCTTTTTTTTTTTTTAAATGAGACAAGTAGAATAAAGGCTTAAATTCAGCACTGTTGAACATCTGACGTTCTTTCTGGAAGTATCATGGCAGAATTTTGGCTTTTAAAAAATAAATTAATTAAATGTGTCTCTGGATTCTTGGGGTTCAGAGGGTTTATGCGGTATTATTGTATCACAGTTTGTTGCTTTGTCTGTCTGTGAAGCTTCAAACTGAAAGTGTTGTGGTGTCTTTGCAGTGGCCGCCAGCGCAAAAGGTCTGAAAATGCATCCAGACGGAAAGGCAAAGTGAGAAAGGTAATGAATTTAAGAGCGAACTTCGCAGCTTTAATTGGCTCAGTTTTCTCGAGGCTCTTTTAATACAGCTTGTTCCACCTTTTCTCTGCAGCAAAGCAACAGAAAAATGGATCAGCCGCTGGCGAAGCTGCAACTCGACAAGGTTTGTCTCTTTCTCGAAACAAATATTTTGTCAGCGCTTTCCACATCTGTCCCGAAAATAAAATAAAAAGAGTTAATGACATGTCTCATTTCCTGGTCAGAACCGGGCGATTCTCGAAGGTGTTTCTCAACCATGTCTCATCGGGTCTCCTGAAAAGACAAAAGCGTTGGACTTTCCTGCTCTCACATCCTCAGAGTCGATGATTCGGTGTCCTCTTCGCAGGTGATTATCGCGCGTTATTCAGCTTCAGAGTTCAAGATCTCTGAACAACGAATCACTTCCCCGAAATCCAAAATATGTCCAAACAACAGATTATTAGTTTTGAGGGAAAACCTCTTCAGTCTCTGCTCGAAACATTTGATTTTCGTTTCTGCCCTCTGTTGCATATCACTCTTATAGTCTGGACTGCAGCGACAACATTCATGACAGCTCCCCAAAAGTGGCTGCAAGGTGGAGCAGTTGGTAGTACTGTTGCCTCACAACAAGAAGGTCACCGGTTCGTGCCGGTGGGGGCACTGGGATCTTTCTACGTGGAGTCTCCATGTTCTCCCCGTGCAGCGTGGGTTCTCTTTGGGTTCTCCGGCTTCCTCCCACACAGTCCAGAAACATGTTGAGGTTAATTGGTGATTCTAAATTGTCCGTAGGTGTGAATGTGAGTGTGCTTGGTTGTCTCTGGGTTTGGTCCAGCCCCTGCAGTGGAGTGCTGACCTGTCCAGGTGAACCTGCCTTCACCCTGAGTCAGCTGGGATAGACTCCAGCCCCCCATGACCCTAGTGAGGATTAAGCGGTGTATAGATGATGGATGGATATCAGTCAAGTTCATTTAATTGAACGAGACTAAAATCATGATTCAATCTATTGTTTGTTCTGTAAAATGTCAGGAAACGGTAAAATAAATTCCAGTCATGGTACAAGGTGATGTCATGACTGTCCAAAACCACAAAGTATTCAATTTAGGACCAAGAAAAAGCCGTAAATTCTCTAATTTTAATAAAACGTGCTCAGTTATCAAAGTGGTTGTAGATTTTCTTTTCACAGATTAATCGTTGCAGCTTTGTTTCTGTGTGTTTCAGTTCTGACGCTCCTCATGAGATTTCGCCGATCCTCGACAAGCGGGGTCGCAGTCTAAGCTTCATTGAGAAACACCCGACCCTACAACCCAGAATGAGATCGATCCTCCTCGACTGGTTAATCGAGGTACTTCTTTAACTGGAGTGTTTGTCTCCAAAGATGAGGTTGCAGCTGTGTTTGAGGAGAATGGAAGGAATGGATGAAACATTGGTTACCAAAACTAAATGATTCAGTTTTTCCTGTTTAGTCTTTATGTAGTCGTTGCATTCGTTAGCTTTTAATCTTTTCAAGCAGAATTCTGTCACACACTGTCAGGAATATAAGTCGAAAAGCATCAACACTCTTAAGCTGCTCATTGACTTTCATTAAACCAGCTGGTGCTTTAACGGCGTGTTTGTCTCCAGGTGAGTGAAGCCTACACTCTTCACCGGCAGACCTTCTACCTGGCCCAGGAGTACTTTGACCGCTTCATGCTGACCCAGAGCAACATTGAAAAGGGAATTCTGCAGCTCATCGGGGTCACCTGCCTGTTTATAGCCTCCAAGATGGAGGTAAGACAGGAATCGAGTGTGTTTTTCCTCCAAAGTAGCTGAATTGAAACAAAGCTGTGCTCTTCAGTGACGTAAGATTCCAGCAAAAATTTGAAAACACGTCCACAGACTTAGTCCAGGAAATCTGAGCTGCTTCGTGTAAAGTCGGACACACAGATTTATTCAGTAAAATACTTGTGTATCGATTCTGAGATGAGACTGTGCAGCCTCATTGCTGAATATTTCATTTCTCTACAGGAATCTTCTCCTCCAAAGCTCTCGGACATGGTCTACGTGACCGCAGGAACCTACTTTGAAGAAGAAGTCCTTCAAATGGAGCTCATTATTCTGAAGGTTACAGGAACATTGACTCTATAGTTTTATGTATGTATTAAAGTTTTAAGGTTTTCTAATTGTATTTATTGATTTTTTGCTTGTTTTGCAGGAGTTGCAGTGGAACCTTTGTCCTGAAACCCTGGTGTCTTGGCTCCAGGTCTACTTTCAGCTTGCATCGATGGACACACACTCAGACCTGCTGGAGCCGCATTTCCCGGTAGACGTTTTCCTGCTGATGACACGAGTAGGTGGATTTAAAGGAGTTATCATTCAGAGTCGCTGTGTTGGATTTTATTGAGACAGTAAAATCACTGAAACTTTCTTCTGAGAAATATTAAATTTAGTTTTTTTTTTGTTTTGTTTTTTTTTAGCTGTTAGATCTGTGCGTCCTCGACTTAAACTCTTTGAACTTCGAGTACCGAGTGTTGGCTGCCTCCGTCCTGTGTCACTTCATACCCCCAGAAACAGTTGAAGAGGTTTCAGGTGAGTTTTGGTTGACAACATTCATCAAAGTCAGAAAACTTGAACCCAGATGGAGCTGAATAACTAAAAAAGCTAAACGTCCACGCTATAGATCACATTCACTGGCTGCTCTGGTCTAAACACAGGTCCTCGTTTTTTTTTTTTCTCCTTCAGGTTTGCCGATAGACGCCCTGCGGCCCTGCATGAGCTGGATGGCTCCCTTTGTGGACTCGGTGGGTCTCTTAGGCAAGGTCACGCTGAGGGATTTCAACAACGTGAAGACTGAAGACAGACACAACATCCAGACGCACGCAAACTACATGAGCATGCTGGTCAGTGCTTTCTGTTACTCAGAGTAGAAGGTAATGTGGTGTTTAGACCCTGTGCAGTAGTTCAAAAGTTACAAACTGCCACTAAAGAAGCCTGAAAGACGAGTTGTGGGGGGAAAATGAGCGTTGATGTAAAGTGCATCAGATTAAAGTTTAAGCAGCGACGTTGGTTTGAGAGGACTGAGCTGCTCAAATTGATCTAGTTTAAGATCATTTGTCAGCTGTGATAGACGCCCTGCAAGGTCCCAACAAAAATCACAAGATCTCCGGTCGCCCTAAACGCACAACGCATGGGCCAGTAGCTTTACCTGTTTAATGTTCCGGTGAGATCATTTCTTTGTCCTTTATTCATTAATATTTATCAGAGTGTGTCTCAATTTGTATGTTTTTCATGGTTGTGTTCACATTAAAATAACCTTAATTCAAAATAAACCTATAAAAATTATTAAAATGATCAGAATTTACTGATGGACTGACATGAGAGATTTTATCGGTATGAATTTTACAAATTTCTTATCACAAATATCCTTTTAAACTCACTGTAATGCCACCATCCAAAAACAATTTACACATTTACTGAAATTAATTTTTACAGCAACTTTCAGGAGCAGATATAAGTTCAGCTTTTTTGTTGCAGGAATTTTACACTAAAGTTGTTTCTTTGGTTAGTTTTGTTCAGCTTAATGGTGCAAAAACAACAAATGCGTATTTAACTTGCCATAGCTGCACTGAGTGTGCAAGATGTCCAGAAATATTCGGCATCTTCTTCCAAAACAAATTACATTTCTGAGGCGCGCCGCTTTAACCTTTTAAAAAATATTACTTTCAGCAGATATGCTGAGGATTAATTGTGTCATTTAAAGGAAACGGCTGAAATGAAAAGATCAGTCACACAAATTTAACAAAGAAAATCTTGTTTCTGTCAGGACGGCGCCAGTCAAAAGATGCTGAATGGCCAGATTCCAACTCCACCGAGCAGCACGGAGAAAACCCACTGAACCGAAGGAGGACGACTGACGTGAACTCAGGGCTGATGAACAACAAACACTGATTCTGTTTACTACAGGGAAGAAAAAAAACAGTCTGACTGCGAACATGAAACATTTCAGCATTATTCAGGATGATGATGATTCTGTGTTTTGAGAGACTCTTGAATCTTGGCCAAAGCTTTTCTTCTTTTTTGTCTTTTATGGGTTTTGTATTTTGTTGTTTTTGTTGTTTTTTAGCTTCTTTTTAGTAACTGCTTTGCTGAAGAAAAGAGAAAATGTCAAAAAAAAATTGAGTGTCAAGGTTTAAGGTGAAAGCCATTTCTGGCTGTGATGTGCAATTGTTTTTACTTTTTTAAAATTTGTTGTTTTTTTCTTTTTAAATGTTGAGGAAACACACGGAGACACTGCTTCAGGGTCAGAGGAAATGTTCAATAGTTTTTAGCGGGTTACTGCCTCCTATTTTACTCGACTCTTAAATGAACTGAACTTGAAAACACGCGATGTACAAACAAAGATGAATGATGTTCTCTGCACGAACCGATGCATTATTTGTGTAACTCAGGGCGTTTTATTTCTTGTAAGAATTCACTTCACATGACTTCAAGTGAACAAATGAACAGCTGTATTTATTTAGTTTACTTTCAACCGCAAAATAAAAAATGTACATTCCCTCCCCTCAAACACTGCTCTGTGTTTTACTAGAAGTACAGTTTGGCCATCGCCTGCAGGAACCTCTTCTTCCTCTTCTGGGCCGCGAGCTGCAGAACCTCCTCTGGGTTGCTGGTGTTCAGCTCCGTCTGGCCGATTGCTTTGATCTGAACAAGTGGGAGAAACCAGGATAACAAGGGGGTTTTTGTTTTTTTTTTTTCAGGTTCCAACGCCTCGAAGGAACTTCTTCAAATTTGGCACGTCCATTTGATCAGAGGTGTTGGTGATCAAAAGTCACTGTGACCTTGTTAAACACTGCATTCATGCTCCAGTTACAACAGAACTTCACACGAATGTCTAGTAAGATGGAATGAAGTGATGACAGCATAGAAGTCAACTGTACAGTAGGCCTGGAAAGTTTCTAAACTTTGACTATTTGTTTGCCAGTTGATCAGTGTGCTGTAAGTACAACCACGGCTCAACTGGTTTAAATCTAGATTTCTGTGACAAACGAGGAAATTAGTCCTCAGCAACATCCTGAGTTGAAAAATCCTTCATGAAAGCAGCCTCTGATATAAACTGAGGTTTTAAACACTCACCGCTATTTGTCTCTTCTCAGTTTCGCCCCGTTTGTGGTGAATATCTGAAGACAGAGTCAGGAAGCTAAACAGAAACTCGAAAACAACTGAGGGCTGAACTATGAAGTGAGAGAAGTGGGTTTGCAGGTA